AAGGCTGGATGATGTCCAGTCTGGGGAGAGGGGTTGGGGGCACAGGAATCCTCAAGCGCTAACGGTGGGCACGTGGACGGGGAGTGTCATTGCACAAGGTGACTTGCAGGGCTTGGGAGAGTTAGCAAGACCCAGACCCCACCTCCTGCCAGGGACTGTCTCATTCGGCACGGAAGGATGGTGTGAGGATGTTGATCATCGCGTCTTTTGCAGCGTGTGGGGGAAGAGATGGAGACAGGTGTGGGCCAGTTACTTTTTCTTTTTTTTTTAAGATTCATCTATTTATTTGAGAGAGAGCGAGAAACTGAGTGCCCACGAGCTGGGGGAGAAGCAGAGGGGGAGGGAGACAAGCAGCCTCCTCACTGAGCAGGGAGCCGAATGGGGGGGCTGGATCCCAGGACCCTGAGATCAAGACCTGAGCTGAAATCAAGAGTCAGATGCTTAACTGACCGAACCACCCAGGGACCCCTCTGCAGGTCACTTTCTGCTGTGCACTAAACCATCCCCAACTTAGTGGGATAAAACAACATCTGTTTATGTGCATGGGTTCAATTATAAAAGGTCACAGTGGGAACATCTTCTCTCAGCTCTCCAATGTCTGGGGCCTTAGCCGAGGTGACTCCAACATCAAAGGTCTGGAATCACCTGGAAGCTAGATCTCTCATGTGTCCAGTGCCTTGGTTTGGGGTGACTTGAAGACTAGGGGCCTAGCAGGAGATATCGACTTTTGTGCCCTCATATGGTCTGTCCATGTGAATTTGGCTTTCTCATAGCAGGGCAGCTGAGTTTCAAGCAAAAGCCTTTTATAACTGGCCTGGGAAGACCCAGAGCACTACTCCTGCCACACTTTATCAGTGGGGGCAGTCACGAGCTTCCCCAAGTTCAGATTCAAGGAAAGAGGATGTGGGCCCCACCTCTAGAGGGGGCACAGAACTTGCAGCCATATTTTATTTTATTTTATTTAAGATTTTACGTATTTATTTGAGATAGAGAGAGAGAGAGGGAGAGCATGAGTATTGGGGAGAGGCAGAGGGAGAGAGAGAAGCAGACTCCCCGCTTAGGAGGGAGCCTGACACAGGGCTCCATCCCAGGACCCCAAAATCATGACCTGAGCTGAAGGCAGACACTTAACTGACTGAGCCACCCAGTTGCCCCTGCAGCCTTGTTTTAAAACTGTAATCGGGGTCTCTCCTTAGAGGAGTGGACAATAAAAAGGTAAAATGTGCGCAATGCCCATCTTTCAACCCCACTCAGCAGGTGAGATTACAGACAAAGTCTGTAACTGGGATCACTCTGAGACACATTACCACTAAGTGTTAAACAAGTGAGTAACCAAAGGAGGGAACTACTCTAAAACAAGTTATCCAGGGGCGCCTGGGTGGCTCAGGCAATTAAGCATCTGCCTTTGGCTCAGGTCATGATCCCAGGGTCCTGGGATCCAGTCCCGCATCAGGCTCCTTGCTCAGTGGGGAGCCTGCGTCTTTGTCTCCTTCTGCCTGCCGCTCCCCCTGCTTGTGCTCCCCCACTCACTCTCTGTGTCAGATAAATAAATAAGATCTTTAAAATGTATAAATAAAACAAGTTATCCAGATATAGCTTTGATGCCCCCAAATAGCAATGAGCGGTTTGCAAGAACACATGAGAATAAAAGGACATGGGAAAAATATAAAGTGAAAAGGGTTGCCCAGGCTAGGGGAAGCATAGGGGAAAGGGCTGAGGATCCAAAGACATTTTAAGGACCCGGAGGCAGGAGGAGTCCACAGCTCCTTGGGTATAAACATGATCCAGGCACCAGGGAGTTAAATGTGTTTTTTTGTGGAGGATGCTTTGATATGGTTTCCTTGACAACCAGGCTGGAGAGAGGGGAACAGAAAGACAGCGGAGTGGGGACAAACCCGGCAATGAACTTCACTCTGTGATTCAATTATAACTCACTGGAGAAAAACAGCCCCCCAGATCATCTTTTTCTTATCTGAGGGGCGTCCAGGGACATTGTGTTGTGTCTCTAACATAGCGATTCTCGAACTCTTTGGTCTCAGGACCCCTTAAATTACTGATAATGATCAAGGACTGCCCAAAGAGCTTTTGTTTATGTGGGTTCTATCTGTTGCTATTTCCCGTATGAGAAATTTCCACTGAGAAATTAAAAGAATACTTATTTACGAACTCGTTTTAGAGTAGCAGTAGCGTATTTGTTACAGGTCCATATAAAGAACATATTTTATTGAAATAGCTATATTTTTCCCCAGACAAATTAATTGCTACGTTCTTGCAAATCTCCTTCATGTCTGACTCAACAGAAGATGCTAGATCCTTGCACCTGCTTCTGCATTCAGTCAGGTGCAATATCGTACCCCATGTAGCCTCTGGACAATTCCACTGAATACTTGTGAGAGAATGAGAGTGAAAAAGGCAAATAATGTGTTAGTACTCTTATGAAAACAGGGTTGATCTCGTGGACCCCCTGAAATGCCTCTGGGAACCCCTAGGGGTTCTTGGACCACACTTTGAGAACCCCTGCCCCAATGATGCTATTACCACTTAAAAAGCAGACTCAAGTTTGTTTCCCCCCCCCCAACATGGGGAGGTTGGAGAAGAATTGTGAATAATATTTGATATGCCCTTCTCTTCCAGCTGTTTCTATGGGAACCGTGAAGGTGGCAGCCAGGGCTAGGCAGGACATTTGGGCTTCCCAGTGACCTGCCTGGCTGGTGCCTGTTGGATCTTCTGCTTGCGGGGCTCAGCATTCAAGGCCTACTCTGGTTCTGTGCCCTGGAGCTTCTGCAATGCTGTAGGGACCTTCAGCTCCTTGGATGCCACAGTCTTTTTTTTTTTTTTTAAGATTTTATTTATTTATTTGACAGAGAGAGACACAGCGAGAGAGGGAATACAAGCAGGGGGAGTGGGAGAGGGAGAAGCAGGCTTCCTGCCGAGCAGGGAGCCCGATGCGGGGCTCGATCCCAGGACCTGGAATCATGACCTGAGCCGAAGGCAGACGCTTAACGACTGAGCCACCCAGGCGCCCCTTTGCCAGTCTTTTTCCGGAAGTTTCTGAGCCTCTCTAATTCTCTACTTGGCTTCTAGGACCATGTCCCCACCCACTCAGTCCCATTCCCAACCCTTCAGGAGAGAAATGAACAGGGACCACCTCTGAGGACAGAGCAGCCAGAAAGCGGAATGAAGAGGACAGATTGTCACACCTGCCATTCATAACTAAATGTGGATTTAGAGCTAAGAGGAGGGCAAGCCAGATGGAATTATGCAGGAAGTATGGCAGGAGGGGGGCCCTAGAATGAAAGTGGACATAGTCATTGGTGATTAAAACCATGTTTAAAAAGACACATTGCAGGGGCGCCTGGGTGGCTCAGTCGGTTGGGTGTCTGCCTTCGGCTCGGGTCATGATCGCAGGGTCCTTCCTTGCTCAGTGGGCAACCTGCTTCTCCCCCTGCTTGTGCTCTGTCTCTCTCTCTGTCAAATAAATAAAATCTTTTTTAGAAAGTAAAAAAAGAAAAATAGAATGTTTAATATCTCATTAATAATTGTTTCATATTGACGACAGATGCAAATGATCATATTGTATGCTTTGGGATACATGAAATCTATTCTTTTAAGACTTTATTTATTTATTTGAGAGAGAGAGAGAAAGGGAGCACAAGCAGGGGGAGGGGCAGAGAGAGAGGGAGAAGCAGACTCCCCACAGAGCAGGGAGCGCGATGCAGGACTTGATCCCAGGACCCTGGAATCATGACCTGAGCTGAAGGCAGATGCATAACCAACTGAGCCACCCAGGCGTCCCATGAAATCTATTCTTAAAATTCATTTCACCTGTTTCTTTTTATTGACTGAGGGTGGCCAGTAGCAAATTCCACACTACACGTGTGGATTGCACGTGGGGCTCGAATTAGATTTCCGCAGGACAACTTTGCTCTACAGAGATGGGTAACATCCATTTGGGGATCAGGAAGGTAAGAGAAGAGAAAAGCAAGGAAAAGAAGAGCTACAGGGGGATTGGTAGGGGAATGAGTAAGCAGTTTGGTTTGCCCTAGGCCCAGTTGCCATGGTAACATTGCTGTAAACTCTCTTCCGACATAAAAAAGGAAAGGAAGGAGCAAAAAGCCAAAGTGTTTTGATTCCTTATTTATTTTAAAAATATGCTTATATAAGGGTGAGTTCTCCATAAATAATTTCCATAGCCACCTTATATGGAGCATCAACTCTGGGCCAATGAATGTCTCTTCCAAGCGTTTTCCTGGATCATCTGCTTTAACCCCCATCAGGGTCCTATGAGGTAGGGTTCATGGTTATTGTCATTTCACTGAGGAGCAAACCCTGGCCTGGAGCAGCTCAGGAATCTACTCGGAGTTTTGGGGGGGGGGCAGGAAGGGTAGAAATAGCATAGAAACCTGGCAGCTGGACTGCAGAGACTGATATACATAGAGTGGGTGGACAAAGGATGTAAAGCAAATGTGTGTTTAGAGTAGCTATGATATTCACATGTCCCAGCCAGGAGGAAACCCTTTCTTGCAGAACTGGACTTCACCTCTGGTCTCACTGATGATCATACACGAATACAAGCCATACACAAAACCAAGATTAGTTGTACTGCCATTTTGAATACTGGAATAAGGCGCAAGAATGAAGCCTGGTCTCCGGGAGCTGGGCCTGTGTACCCCGAATGATACATACACCTCACAAGGTGAGGCCTGTGGACCCATACTGAAGCCTGACTGACCCTGAAATTCGGAACAAGGCTTCTCCCCAGAGAGTGAGTCCCTGGACCACACTGTGTGAGGCCAGGGCCCCCTGATTTACGCCTTCTATCCTGACCTCCACTTGTACCCTGGGGAGGGGGTTACAACCGGCTAAAGCCTGTAATCTCCCGAAGCACCGCCCCCCCCCCCGACCCCCGCCCATCCACCGAGCGAGGTCTGGTCTCCCCGGCTGATGTCTCCTGGTCCCCTGTGAATTTGGCTTTTGCGGGCTCATCAATGAAGGTGGCACTGCCCATCCCCACGTCCTCCTTTCCTCCGGCCCTTTAAGAGCGGCTCCTTGGACCCCAGCGGCACAGACCCCCGCTCCAGCAGCAGTGTTACCACGGAGACCGGGCCTAGCTGGGGGAGGGGCGAACCCAGGCGCGCAGGCGTAGGATCCAGCAGCCGGGTCGCCGCGCAACAGCTCAGATTGGAGCGGAGGGTGAGCGCCCAGACATGGCCAGAGCCCGACTCCCCTCCCCCCTGCCGCTCCAGGTGACAGCGATGGCGCCCTCCCCTGCACCTGAACATGGGCGGCGTCACCGAGGCCATTCTCAGGGACAAAGGTCAGAGCAGCCAGGCTGGCGACATCCCGGAAAGTGACACGTAAGCCCCCTGCGGATTCGCCAACAGCCCGGGGAGAGGGGGCATAAGCACCAGGCTGCTGCGTCAGGCTAGAGGCACCATGGCCGTGAGCCTTTTGCGGGACTGGTGCCGGGGGCTGGATGTGGACATGCACCGGGCCCTGCTGGTCACCGGCATCCCGGAGGGCCTGGAGCGGGCGGCCATCGAAGCCGTCTTGCAGCCGGCCTTCCTGCCCCTGGGCACGTTCAAGCTGTGGAACGCCAGGGCCGCGAGGGACCACAAGGCCAAGGCCGCCCTGGTGGAGTTTGTGCAGGACATAAATCACGCGTCCGTCCCCAGGGAGATCCCGGGCAAGGACGGGGTCTGGAGGGTTGTGTGTCAGGACCCCGCGGAGGACCCAGGAGTCCTGAGGCAGATGAGACGCCTGGTGCTGGATGAGAGGCCCTCGCAGGCCGCGGGGCCCGGGGCCGCCGGGGACACGCTCCTCTCTCGGGCCTGGGAGCCCCGGGCCCAGGGCTCAGAGCCGGCGGCCAGGAGGGCTGGCCCACCTCCCAGGCGGGGCCGCCGGGCTCGCAGAAACAGAGCCAGAGGCAACAGGTGGGCCCCGAAGGGCCAGAAGAGCGAGCGAGGGGGGCGGCGGCCCACGTGGGCCCGGCGGGAGTCGGGCGCCTCTTCCGAGGGCAGCCTGGGCATCGTGCTCGAGGAGCTGGACCCCGACGACCTGAGCGCCGACGAGGCGCAGAGCGCGCTGTCCGCCACGCTGCACCAGGCCGCCCAGGAGCTCAGCAAGAAGGAGTGGGCCCTGCGGAGCGGCGCGGACGCAGGCCAGGGGCCCCGCGAGTTCTTGGCCCTGGTGACGGTGACCGACAGAGCCAAGCGGGAGCCGACGGAGAAAGGGGCGCCGGGGCCCGAGGCCGTCAGCCTCGACGGCGGCGGCGAAGGCCGGAGCCGCCGCGTCCCCGACTTAGTGGCCCTGCTTGCCGTGCGAGACGCGGGCGACGAGGAGCCGGCGCACGGCGACGCTCCCGAGAGCGAGTCGCAGCCGAACGGGGAGCCGGGAGACGAGGCGCTGGACAACCCCGAGTTTGTGGCCATTGTGGCCTATACGGACCCGTCGGACGCCTGGGCCCGCGACGAGCTGCTGAAGATCGCTTCGGTGATCGAGTCCCTGGGCTGGAGCGCCAGGAGAGACGGGACGGATGCCCTCCGCGAGGTCCTGGGCGTCCTGTCCCAGGACACCGGGGGAGCCCGCGTGAAGGTGGAGGAGGCGGGCCGCCAGCTGGACGCCCTGGTGCTGCGGAAGGCCGCGGACGGCGGGAGCCTGCGGGAGTGCATCTGCGCCCTGGCCGCGCCCGACCCCCCGGCCGCCGGCAAGAGGGCGCGGCGTGGCCCCCTGGCGGGCTGGGGCGACGGCGAGGGGGGCC